TTTTATGATTCTTTCTATAAAGGACAGCAGCAGTTTGCTTTCTCATTTTGGGGGTATTTGTTAACAATGTTTGAAGGCTTATTATTGTTCAGTTACGCTTATGTCATCATTTAAGTATTCAACTCTGATTCCCACCACATGTTTTAGCTGTATGCAGTAGTTTTTAGCCGAAGAACTTTGTTGTTTGCTATCTTATCTTTGCACAATTTGTGACCACCAAACTTCCATTTGCAAGACTGAGTATTTCAATTCTTGTTGTTACATTCCTAATTGATACTTAATTACTGTATCCTTAATTTAAATAGTTCAGTTGTGTTTAATTTTTTGAGTGCATTTTAGAATATGTTTTGATATTTTGGCGTGAATACCTACTTCATTTTCTTTTTCTTTTCTGTTATCTTGTTTTACATTTGTTGTCAACTGGTCTCAGCATCATTCCAACCCAACGTATTGTTAGAACACCTATGAAATCTTATCCTTTATTTCATTACATGTGGTCTTCTTCACCACTGGTTGGAAATGTGTCATGTTTTTTGTTTTTATTACAACTCGCTCATATTTTCACAGTGCAATGTAATGTCAATTTCTTTTTATGTAAGTAAAGATGCTCATTAATGGTTGATTCTATATTTCCATAAGAGCTAATTCAATTCTTAAAACTCTTTGTCAAAAGATCTACTAAACATCTTATGATTGAAAGTAAATTAACACTCACGTCTAACTGAGCACTTTAAAACTTGGTTTTACCATCTTACTTATTGCATCCTATCATCAAAGTTACCTGTCCTTGGTCACTTCCATGCATTGTGTTTTGAAAAGATTGTCAAAGAAGCAGAAAGAATTTGTTAACCCAGGAGCAGTCACCAACATGCTAAATGTTTAAGTAACAAAATTTACATATTTAATTATTGTTATGATTAGAAATGTGATTGTGTAAAAATTAAACAAATTTTTAAAAAATCTTGCTGTTTAATTTTAATTGTTATCAAAATGTCCTCGTGCGACCTTCACCATCATCATCGTTCTGTACCTTGTACCTCATCAGGCAATGTCAATGTGCTTCCCAGGCGCCTGGGGAAGACCATGCAGGAAAAGTGGGAAATGTAACCGTGTTTTCACGTTTTCACTCACTAACCCAGTATAAGGGGTAGGCGAAAGAACATATAACGGTGCGACAACTGCACCCGCTTCCCTCGCCAGCCCCCTTACGCAAAACTGACGTTAAGGAGGTGCTTATATTCGGGATTCGGGGAGTTCCCTGAAGTTGACCGTTCCTCGGCATTGAAAGAAAAGGTACGGGCGGGGGCGGGAGAGTGCAAGAGTGCAACAACAATGAAAGACTAATGCAATAATGGAATCAGTTTCACCAACAACTGAACATTCAGACGATAATTTGACGTTGAGTTATTGATAATTTGACGTTGAGTTATAGGACTTTGTCTCCATCTCCAAAACCAGGCAAGTGAGTTTTATTTTTAAAAAATATGGTAGTAATGGGACGGTCGTCGGAGCTTCCTTCTGGATTGCCGAATTTAAATTATCAAATTCTACAATGCTCGTGCATTGCCAGACAACAAAAGGGGATCACTGGATCGCTACGGCAAGGTTCGTAGGACGCGAAGCGCGAAGTACGCGGTCTCAGCGCAAATCTGTCATCAGTCACAGGAACTCCTTGTCATCATCGTCATCATGCAGTTGTTTCGATCTGTCATTCCCCTCTACAACGTGCCATTATTCGTGAGTGTTTTCTTCTTTAAAAAAAAAAAAAATCTACTATGCTTATTCTTGTCCATGGTAAAAATAAATATCTAGAACTTAATAAATTTACATTACAGTATGGTGGATGTGCATCCTCTCCTGTAATTCAAAAGAGCTTCCAGGGGGTTCTCTCCTGTTGTAAATACTCATGTATTTCTGGATTTGTGAATCATCCTCTTAGTGGTCCACAGAATGCTCAAAGAGCATTGTCAGAGGTAGCATTATAGCAATATATTTTACCTTTACTTGTCTTTGCTCCATGCTTCTCTGGGACATCCATTTTGAGACCCTTTACCTCCATCTAGATTCGTCCAGAGAGAAATTTATACACAACTCCCTCAAGATACGACATTGATAATGCAGGGAGACTTATGGGGGCTGGAATGGCTACAATCGGGATAGCTGGCCCAGGTAAGTCAAATAAATGGGTATTAGAAACTAATGGGCTGTTTTACAGACCTTACACCATGTGGTACTTTTATCCGTTTCTTGAATTTTATTCCTGTTTCAGGTGCTGGAGTTGGCATTGTTTTTGGGAGCCTCATGTTTTCTTATTCACGTAATCCTAGCCTTAAAGGTTCCCTATTTTCCTATGCCATTCTAGGATTTGCTCTTACTGAGGCCATGGGACTTTTTGCTATTTTAATGGCATTTATTATTTTGTTCACTTAATTACACCTGCCATGTTCCATGTATTCTAATCAATTCCCTAGCCTTGTTTGAGGTGTTGAAGCACAAGCTTCATTTAACACTATTTTCTATCTTGTCTGAGTCAATGACTTTTCTTTGAGAATAAACAATTCATTTCAAATTTCTGTTATTCTTGGAAAAATCAGTGTTTAAAGAAATATGAATAGGGACACCAAGGAAAGTCAAACGAGCAAATGCAGGGATTCTTTCTATCCACAACTGTATTCATGAAACAAACAGTTACAGCAACATAGCTCCCAGCAATAATTTCTTAAAACAAGTAGCACATCTATAAAGGAGTAGGAAATCCGATAACCATCAAGTAGGCACAGCAGTAAGATTAAGAAGCACTCTCAACTTGTGCCTCCAGGCCTAGAGTGAGATGACAACCCTGTGGACAAGCCGTTTATGTATGAAAACCACTCACAAAAATAAACAAAAGCCATCAAAGACAGTCCCAAGAGTTATAACTAAAACTCAGAGGGTAAAGCCAGATAAGTAGAAACCAGAAAGGCCTCAAAGAAAAAAAAAGAAGGCTGTTGATTCATAAGGATATTTTTATTAGTTACCTTACATACAATGTTTTAGAGCAATAATCATAGACGTTTAAAATCAAGGACTACTGTTGTGAGAAGAGAAATACATGAAATGTGAATGAGTAAAATATAAATGAATTAATAAATGATGATGATCAACTCTACACAACTAGCTTCTTTTTTCACAAAATTTACAAAAGAAACTTGACCAGGAGCAAGAACTTTTGTCTTGCTACAAACTTAACAAAAAGAGAAAAAAAGGAAAGAGAAACAACAGATCCGTAGATAGATGACTTTACCAAACTCAGCAAGACAAAATTCTACTCCTGGCTATGGATTTAACAAAACCAGCAGTACTTTACATATAGTAAGCAATTCAATCTGGAAAATTATACAATTAAAACAAAGCCTCACATTGAATTCCTGCCATCCTTGTGGTGGGTCCTCTGGTACAGTATCTCATGAGGCCACATAAAATATGGAAAAATGGTGTCATTTTGCAAAACCGGAAAACAACAAAAAATAATCGGCAGTGGTTCTTCCTTAATTTCTACAGGTTTGTTCAGTCAGATTACTCACGCTCCACTTCAGATATCCTCATACAAATTGACAATTATCGTTTCTCTGCAATTAAAACGCAACCATGCAAGAGCAAACACCACATACAGTGAGTAGCTTCATTGAAGGTTGCTTAAACGGAATAGTATTCAACTTAAAATTATATCTGAATGGCGCTGGCTTCTTACATTTTCTAGCAAATACCTCAGTCGTCTCAAACATAGTTGGGTTTGCACCACACATACAAGTTCAAGTTGCAACCACATATCAAGTATTAATGTACCGGTAAGTCTCAAGTGTAGAAACAATAATGTAAGCAGAACTGATGGATTTTTCAAACATTATATACATTTGAGTTCCTTTGTAAAATGACTATCACGAATGGTACACAGACTAAAACACCAACAAAGATAGGCAGATGGACCACTGCTATTCTGGCACAGTGAGAAAGCCAGAGAACCAAGGCATTGGCAATGTCAAGACAAAAAAAAAAAAAAAAGGTAGGATACATAAAACGAAACCAAATATTGAACAAAAACAGAATTATCAATTGGCTTATCTCCGGGAGTGTATTTTGAGAGACCGTCAGACAGGTCAAAATAATTGAGACCATTAAATTTCCAGTAACATAGGATATGATTTATTGTCAGAATTATGTCAGCAAGGAAACACTATGACTTTGCAGTGACGCTGGTTCTCTGATGATGCTTACCCACTAAAGAAAAAAATCTATATATTAATGAATCACAATATTTGAACCACAGTCACTTACTTCATGGACGGCCGAGCTACACCTGAAGCTCTCAGTTCTTGTTTAACCTCCCAAAGTTATGGATTGGACGCAGGAAAATGGTGAGATGAAGAACCTAACTCGTTTCTGTACACAGAGTTGCACTTCAGCATTCAGAACAGGAACGAGTAGTACAAAGATTATACATTTAAACAGAATTGAGCAAAATTAGCAGCGACTTCTCTCTAACCTAATTCACTGCTCCACTTAACTGCATAGTGACAACCCATTACTTTGGCAAGTGACTGAGTAAACATAACAGACTTGGCGGCCATTCTCAGGTGACTCGGCTGCACATATCACATCACACACCTAGAAGAGGAGCGGGGCAGGCAGAAACCAAACCAAACAGGCTAATGGCTAGACTATGCTTTCAGTTAGACTGGTTGCTAGTTGGTTGAAAACCAACACAAGCACTTATCAGAACATCTAGCTGTACTAAATGACTTACTTTCACAAAACTGCTCATTCCATTCATAGGATGATATTCGGGCCATTTACTAAGCTTTGGTGATGCACTTAAATCTGGTAATGACTGTCCATTAATATTTTGTCCGAAGGAATGCTTTCAAAGGGCTCACTTCTCTTTTTGACAGACATTCGGTTCTCAGCCAAAACATAAATATCATCCTACGAATAGGCTTACATACATCAAGTTCAGTTGTGTTTAATGTTCAATAGAGATCCTAGTTGACTACTTGACAGCACAGGGTTTCTGCACATTCATGGCCAACAACTGTTACTGTACACAAGCAATTCAATAATTCACAAGATGACATTTATAATGAGTAACAGCTAGTGTTTCTTTTCTAATTTACCAATATTCACATCAAATTATTTTTAGAGGACACAGTGTTTAAGAATACAAAATCTTTTAAATCTCTTGAATGAAGGTATATGTTCTGTTACCATAAGTGCTTGTATCTTGATTTCTAGCGTGAAAGAATCCAATTGTCTAGTCCACTCACTGCTGTGGGAAAGGTAGTCTTCTACAGTAACACTCTCTCGTTTGCAATGGTACATAACATACAATAAGCCAAAACTTAAATCCTTTGGAAACAAAAAAAAAGAAAGAACAAAAGTCTTGAGCTTTAAAAGTCTCAGGCAAAACTAATTCCAAGAAACACTTGACAGGAGCACATGCATGATGCAACAATTAACCATGCTGTTGTGCACATACCACACTATCCACTGGTTGCAGCAGTGCAGTCTCACATCCATTAAAATAAGTTTTTCACTCTCACTCACAGGCACTCGCTCAAACATGCTTTCATTCACACATGGTACAGAAGTAACACACAGCTCTCGGAACATTTACATGTACACAAGACGACATGTGCTCTCACATAGGCACACATATTGGACAAAATTTACAATATACTTTTTTTAATATATACTTTCTCTTAATGAAGCATTTCCCATCCAAACATGAGGCAAAGGTAAATAAAAACTAATAGACAAAAGTAAAATTAATACACCTTTTTAAAATATTTTCAAACTATCAATCCTTGTTTGTCATTATCTGGTCTAAGCTTGAATAAGGTTGATAGTTAAGTGTGTATTAAACCCCATCCACTCAGGTGAACCATTCTTTGCACTTCCTCCGGTTAAAACATGCTTTTGAAAACTTCAATCCCTACAAACTCTTACAACTGAAGTATTTTAATTGATACCTTAGTTGGAATACATAAGAGTGGATGAAATTATACACAAAACCAAAACAAGCATCAAATGAGTAAGGAGTGGTCACAACAGTTTAAGCACTGAAGTACAATAGACTCAAGTTAGTCACCTTTCCTCACATGGAGCACGAGCACGTATGGTACATGAAATAACACACCTGGCAGACTGACCAAGCTACTGATTATGTACACCTGTATATCCCAAGTTCAAGCACCTATGCTATTCAAAACAAGTTTTCTTCTCTTTTTCTATAAAAGCAACACACAACTTTAATTTCACTGTATCAAAAAACACCATTCATAATTTTTACCATTTTTATTCAAACAATGATTTTTATCACAAACACCTGTTCAAGGCCGAGCCTGGACATTAGTTCATGGGGTTTTGGTCCAGGGAGTCGGTTTGAGGGGGTGGGGTTAAGGTAGGGCATTGCTGCATGGAGAGGTAGAAAACCAATTTGCTTCCTGATCATGTACTAAAGATGAGTTATCACCATGGCACTAATTTGAGGTCAGCATGTGCATAGTGGAGAGAGGTGCAGCTGTGCAGGGTGGTGTGTGTCATGCCATGACATCGCTGTAGTCTCAAGCTGCCCGAAATTTAATGTCTCAGGATGCCATAACATTATCTTATATCTTCTTAATTTTTTCGCCCACAACAACAGGGTTGTTGCGGCGAATTTCCTGTGCCCCGAGCTCCCGGTAGTCAAAGGTACATTCGTGCTTGTCACTGTATCGATGCATCGCACAAAAGAGACCCCCACATCGACATTCGAACCCTGGAAATAACAAGGCAAAGTTAATTACAGAGGTAAAAAGAATCCACCAAAATGGATTGAACACAATGCGTGCGGGGATTAATGAAAATTAAAGTTACATTTATCAGAATGGCTTTGAGATTAACAATGCCATAGAGAGGGGACTACAGGCAAGTATCTCATGAAATAAACAAGAAAACAAATACAAATCATAATAGGTGAAAGTAAAAGTGACCCATACCTGTAAGTCCGACCTTCTTGCGGCATGTTGCACAGCGGTTCTTCTTCCTTTTTCCATCCTTGTCTTGTGAATCTTTGCCATCAAAGCTGCTGTCATCACCCTCTGCATTTGAGGCACAGTCTGCATTGCTACCTGCACCCTCACCATTTTCAGAGCTTGTCTGTAATCAGTAAAATGTAAATATTAGGGTGGAAAAGGTACAAAAGCATTTGAATCTTTTCAGAAGAAAATTCTTACAGAACATGGAAGTGGAAGGGCAGTACCACTTCCACTAGATGTCATTTTGATAGAAATTTATTTATTAATATTGTAAATATTGAAAATCTGAACCCCACCCCCTCAACCATCATCTTTAAATGACAAGGAAAGAAGTGCCTATGCACCTTTCTCTTGGCAACAGAGTGCTTCAACAATGGTAAAAAAATGACAATGCAGATACAAGTACTCAGCATGTTCCAGCTTTATGGATGGATTTAAAAAAATACAACATTTTGAGATTAACATACCTCTTTACTGCAAAGGTCTGAAATTACAGGGATGGTAGGTAAAGCTGTATCAACAGCTGAGGCTACTGTTGATGCAGATACAAAAGGTCCATTATTGCTGCTTGATGCTGTTGAAGCAGCTGGTGATGAGACTGGAGGTTGCTGCACACAGAACAAATTCAAAAATATTACATATTGCTACTTGTTATAGGCCAAACCAAGCAACTTAATGTAATTTCATAACATACTTGTTTCTTTTTTAATGCTTCCTTATAACAGAGCGAGCAGAGCCCGTCTGTGGCTGGAGACCCGTAGAATCCACACCCAGATCTACACTGCGTCTGCATCTGGTTCGACTCCCTCTCCATCGCTAACGGGTAGTTTCGCAGTTGTGCGGACGGAAAGATATTGAAAATGAAAGAGAATCTTTGATATTCAGTCTTCTATCCTCGTCAGTAAATCAGCAACCCTGCAACATAAAAAATAAACAAAACGTTAGACGTTTGGAAGTACACAAAACATTCCCAATCCCTTCGGTACCACACCCCACCGCAAATTTCGATTTGAAAGTCGTGCGTCCGAGTTGTTTTCTCGAATGAGTACGTACTGCTGCTACGGCGCAGCTGAAGGTGATGTGACGTCACAGCCACGCGCAGCCACTACTGTACACCTCCCGCTCGCCATGGACCGGGGGGGCCGGGATCCCGGGGCCGGCGACTAGGCTAGAGGCTGGGCTAAATTAATGCGCGCCCAGCAGCAAATCGATATCAGTTCAAACAGCGAGTGCATCGAAACGCAAGCTGCGGGGAGATCGGCAGACAAGGCAAGAGGCCGCGGCTCTCGGCAAAGGAAAATTGGAAGGAAAAGGGGAGGGGGGGTGGGGGGGAGCTTCGCTGCGCGGGCCGCGCGCTGCGCCACGCCGCCAGGCCACGCTGGCACGCCGCGAGGGACACCCAACTGGTTCACCTTTCGCCGACACCGCGCGAGGCAGCAGGCGCCACGCCATCGCACACTTTCAAATACACGACGACGGGCGTTTCGAGTGTTTTCGCGGCGCGGCCAGAAAGGTGGCCACCAGCGGGGCCCAGAGGCCCAGCCCAGCGCGAGCGTGGAGGAGGAGAGGGCGTGACGTCACGCCAAACGCGGAGCCGCGTCACCACCCGCGCGACGTCAGAGCGGCCCGGCGCGGCCGCGTGACGTCACGCCAGCCACGCGCCGCGTCACGTCGTCGTTGTTCGCGGAGATGATACATATATATAGTGCGTGAGTGAGACACCGGCGGGGAAGTCCCACCGCGATCAAACGTGAAAATAACGAATCATCGCGGTGACAGTGTGGGGAGGGTGGACGGCTATCAGGGGGAGGGCCGCCACGTCACCACCACCACCAGCCGTCACCGGGGCTCTCAGCCGCAGCTCCGCACGCGGATGGTCACGCGGTGGGCGGGCCACCACCAGGACGACACACCGCGCAGCGCACACACAGGCCCAAGAAAGGCTAACCGAGACAATGGCGAATCCACCTTCCACGGACAGGTAAGAAAGGAAAAGGGAAGCTGCTGGCGCGAGGCGCGCAGCAGCGCACCCACTCTCCGCCCCGGCTTCCCATGAGCAGGAGGAGGTGGAGGAGGAGGAGGGCGCCCCCATGCATGCGACTCGCTCGCTGCACCGCCAGCCCAGCCCGGCGCAGCGCCATAAACAGTACAGTGCTGCACTTTATGCGCCACACGTGCCGCCCGGTGCGTGCCAACGGGTAGGAAGTGCTGCTCGGGCAGGGGGCGGGCAGGGGGGCCGGCCTCCACACCGGCCACACGGCTGACGGACGGCCCCGTCAGGCAGGCACAGCCCCGGGACAAAGCTGCCGCTGCAGCCAATCGCACGGACGGGATGAGAGATCAGATGACGCAGTGGTGCGAGGACGACGAGGCGAGCGAGGTGGGAGAGGAGAGGCAAGGCGGATCATCTCGGCAGCGCATCCATCCCACCACCACCACACCAGGCTGCTGCCATCTGCTTGTGGGAGGGCCGCCAGGCCAGGGCGGATAGGAGCTGCGCACACGAGCACGGCCGCGGCGTGGCGCAGCCAGCGGGCGGAGCTCGGGACAAGGAGACAAAGGCGACCTTGTTTGGATTCAAGTGCAAGGGAGTGCGACGAGACGAGGCAAGGTGAGGCCGCAGGCAGGCAGGCTATTGCTCGTGCAGACTGCCGGCTGGCCCCCGTCCAGCCCCGCCGCGGGCCGCGCCGCGCCACCGCGCGTGCAAGCATGCGCCGCAAACCACAATTGCACGAGGGGCCACGCGGGTATAGAGCCACGCACACACGGGCCGACCGGGAGTCAGTCGCGGGGCAGCAGAGCAAGAAGCCACCGGGTTCAGGGGTGGTGGAAACTCACCGGCGACGTGGCATACGGGGAACCAACCGCGATGAGCTGATCGCCAGAATATGCTGACATCGATAAAAGGGGGGTACTTACGAGGCGAGGGGGAGGGAGGGGGGCCAAGTAAAGTCACGGCCAAACTCGCCGGTTTCTTCACAGCTCGCCGAGCACGCCGCCACACCAGTGCACTCAGAGCCAAGTGCATTGGGGATGGAGGCAGGGAGGGATGGAGGGGGGCTGGGCTGCGACGGCATGGTGATCAGCTGCTCGCCGGGGGTGAGGGGTGGGAGGGAGGGAGCGTTCTCACCCCCTCCCCCTCCTCCCCACCGTCTAGACGGGGAGGGTAGGGGAGGAGGTGGAGGAGGGGTGCGACGAGCTGAGGGGTGAGGAGGAGGCGGGGCGGGCCCGGCCCGGGGGGCCCGCCCAGTCATATGATTCGAGCGGGGAGGGAGGGTGGGAGGGGTGTCGGATGAAAGCAGCTCGTCCACCTCCGCCTCCTCCTTGAACTGCACTGCACTGCTTTTCCCAGGAATTTGCCTCCCTTAGACTAAACGGCGCAAGGGCGGGCAAGCTGAATAAAAGCAGAGCAAGGCTCTTTGGCTCGCACTTTGGCGACGCTCGCGGACGTACGTACTTTACGTACCGTACGTTCGTTCCACCGCGCCAGCAGAGTGTCCCCCGCGGCGCACAAAGGAAGCAGGCGAAGCAGGCGACTGCAAAAGCGACCGAGTGGAGCAAGCGAGAGCGGCGGACTCGCGGCCGGTCCTGTCGCCGTTTCGCAAGGACCGGGCGGGGCGGGGCCGCGGGCCACAGCAGCAGGCAGCTTGCGGACCGCTCGCTTGGCGCAAATCATCATAATTATACCGGCGCTGCTAAAGCAATGGCGCTGCCAGCTGCACTGCCAGCAGAGAGGAGGAGCTCCCCCGGGGCAGCAGCGTCAGGACCATCACGGCGCAGGTGCAGCGCGCAGCGCATCGCATCGCGCTCACACCACCAGTGGCGGAGGACCATCACGATGCCGATCCAGCCATACAGCCACCTCAAAACCAATACGCCATACTTTCACTGGCCTCCCAGGACGCGACACGCCGCCAACGCCGCCGTAACCTTCGCGGCCTCCTTTTCCTCCTCCTCCTGCTGCTGCCGCCGCCGCCGCTGCACGTCCTTGCCGAACGTGGCCTAAAAACGCGTGGCCAGGCCGGGCGGGGCGGGGTGCGGGGCGATGGGCCGGGCTGCGGGGCGGCGGCGGCGGCGTTAGTGGTTGCGCAACGCCTAGGTAAAGGCCCCTCGGCGCCTTCGCGGGCACCACCACCAGCAGGTCCGCCAAGGTCTAGGACCAACAACAGCTGTGCGCGGCGGCGGTGCGCAAGCAAGAGAAGGGAGGGCGACCGACGGCGCCCGCGAGAGAGGAGGAAGACGACAGCAACGTCATGCAGGCGGGAGCTTCTCCGGGGGCCTCCGCACCTGCAGCGGCGGCAGGCGCGGCCGCGGCGCGGCGGGGCGTAGGAATGCCCATTGGCCGACATACATGTCCCCGCGAAGTAACGGGGTGGCGCCCCGGGGGAAAGGGGGAGGAGGGGGGCGGCAGTGTTGCGTCGTGTCGCGTTGCGTCGGGCAGGAGGGGCGTTGGGGCGGGGCGGGGCGGCGGCGGCGTTGCCTGCCCAGGACCGTCTACTACTACAACTAGAGGAGGCCGGCGATCCGGCAACGCCGCGCGGCCCGCGCGCTCCGATCCAACCAGCCCAGCAGCAGCAGCGGAGCAGCAGCAGCAGGAACGGGCTGAGCTGGGCTTGGGCCTGCCTCGCTCCGCAGAGCACGGCCAGCACGGCGTGCACGACGGCCCGGCCCTGGGCCACGCCATCATCAATGGGGGAGCCCGCGACACCAACCCCCCAGGTCCCCAGGTGCACTAAACTCCTTTTTACGGGCCAGCCGGAAACGGGGGAGGATTCCGTCATCCGTCACGAAATGAGGAAAGCTAAGATTTGGGAGAGAATAGAGTGTGGGGAGAGAAGGAGGGGGAGGACGTAATCACCACCATTACCCCAAACCCCCTACACACACGTGGGTAAGGATAGAGATGAGAGGAAGAGGGTGTAGTAAAACCGGATAGACCAGACCACCCCGTAGAGCAGTATTAAAGTTGCCGCCGGGGAAGGAAAAGGGAAGAAGGTTAAAGGTCCGCGGGCACGTACGTACAGTACAGTCCGAGCCAGCTGGAGCCGCGGGGGTGGCAGGGAGGGAGGGGTCACAATAACACCCACCCCTCTCCCACCCACCGCGCGCATCACCCAGAGCACAGCAGCGGGCGGACGCCGCGGGCGGCGCTTCACCACCGACCCGCCGCCCCCGCCGTCCGTCCCCGGGACAGAAAATGAATAAGAACAAGAAGTACCCAACCAAGGCTGAAAGAAAAAGAGGCTGGACGGGCAGGAAACGAGCCCAGGAGGGAGCCCCGCGGTAGCTGGCTGCCCTTACTGCCCCCCCCCCCCCCCCCCCCTGGCCAGCCGTCCGGCAAGCCAGCCAGGTGCAGCCAATGAGCCCCCCTCTCCGCCATGAAGCCACCCCACCTCATCCATGGATGGAGCTCCCCCGAGGGTTGGCGAAGGGCGGGGCGGGGCTCGAACCTCCTCGGCCGCAGGCCAGCCCGTCGGCGGACACGGCCGATCCGAAGCCGGGGTTCGATCGCCAGACTGGCGTGCAGCAGGCAAGGCATGGCTGACGCTCCACCACAGTCGCGCTAGAGAAGCCAACCCGACCCCGCGGGAAGGAAAAGGGGGAAGGGCGGGCGGGGCGGGGCGGGTGCAGTGCAGCCAGGCACGGCCAGACACGTGCAGCCGAGGGGAGGGCATCGACCCTGGAGTGGGATGAGAGACCCCCACACGCGGCCCGGCCCGGGCGTCAGCTGTTCCGCGCGACAGCGTGGCGCGGCGTGGCGTGGCGGCCCGCGGCGCCGCGACCCTTTAATGCAGCGGGTTAAAAGGTCGCGAGGCAACCCGGCTGCTGCTGCTGCTGCTTGGTAAGAACGCGCCGTCGTGCGCGTCTTGCGGGCGACCTTGCGGCCGGAGCGGCGCGGCGTGGCGAGCCACGCG